GAAGATTTAATAGATACCGTTAGCAAAACTTTTTGTAAAATCCCCACCAGGCGCTAGACATACATAACTGGATATAGGTAAGGGGAGCTAACCAGGGCACCTTTAGAAATTTTTAATACATACTTATCAACTCTACTAATATTTTGTTTCCAGCCAATATGCCCAGTCCGGCGGATACGGTGGCGGCGGCGGCGGTGGCGGCTACAGCGCTGTAGCCCAGCAGCCCCAGCAGTATGGCGGCGGTGGCGGCTACGGAGGCGGCGGTGGTGGTGGCGGCGGATACGCCCAGGCCCCTCAGCAGCAATCCTACGCCCCTCAGGCTCCTCAGCAACAGTCGTACGCTCCTCAGGCCCCTCAGCAGAGCTACGCCCCTCCCGCCCCTCAGGCTCCTCAGGGATACGCCGCCCCTCAGGCCGCGCCCCAGCAGTCGTGGGCTCCTCAGCCTGCGCCTCAGCAGAGCTACGCCCCTCAGGCTCCTCAACAGCAGTCGTACGCTCCTCAGGCTCCCGTGTACTCCCCTCCGGCTCCTCAGGCTCCTCAGGGATATGCTGCTCCTCAGGCTGCCCCTGTAAGTTTTTCTTAACTTTGTTGTGAGCTTTTACCTAACTAGTATCGATTAAATTTTTCCAGGCTCCTCCTCCCCCTCCCCCTCCTCCCCCTCCTCCTCCGCCAGCCTACTCGCCGCCCGCCCCGGTAAACTTTTGAGCCTTATGTTCTGGGTACCTTGAGCATTAGTTATACTGAAGCTAAACTCATTTTTCCAGGCTCCTCCTCCCCCTCCTCCCCCACCCCCGCCACCACCACCGGCCCCGGTCCAGAGCTACTCGGCCCCGGTTGCTGCTCCTCCGGCCCCTGCCCCGGCTCCTCCTCCTCCTCCTCCCCCACCACCACCTCCTCCCCCGGCTCCCCCGGCGCCGGTAAGGATTTTTTACATTGAGTGGCAGCGAGAGAGAGAGCGAGAGAGAGAGAGAGAGAAAAAAAGAGAGAGCAAGGAAGCGTGATAAAGCAGGAGAGAAAAATGCCTTTTAGAACGTATAATAATTTTGAAATTCCAGGCCCCTGCTCCTCCCCCACCTCCTCCTCCCCCAGCACCACCGGCCCCGGCCCCCGCTGCCCCCGCCCAGAACTCGTACGGAGATGAGCCCGTTGCCCCCGCCCAGCCCGCTTCCGGAGGCTACCGTCACCGCAAGGTGTTCCGCCACAAGGCCCGCAAGGTTGCCCGCAAGGTCCTCCGCCACAAGCACCGCAAGGTCGCCCGCAGCTGAACACCCACTCTCAACGACTCGGGTACCACAAAGCCTTAAACATCACAATAATGCTCAACGATGTCACAGCGCCCGACTAGGGCGTGTATGTAGTGCTATGAATAAATGGATATACATAAAATGGTGTATTTTGAAAATACAATACAAATAACAATCGCAAAAAAAAAGTCTAGGAAGGGCTTGGAAATTTGAAATTTTTGGGTAGAGGTCAAATTCAAGCGTCTTGCGGGGGAATGGGTCAGCTAGATTGTTATCGAAGGTTTTTTTTTGCGTTTTTTTTTGGGTATTCGAAGGTCATTTTCTAGCGGAGCAGCCATCTTTCTATTGCAGTCATCTTTGTGGACGATGATAATTCTCTAGTGACTAGCTTCCCATTATTTTTAGATGCTAAGGCTTAGATTATTACGCAGTCAAATTAGATATCTTTCGCCCGCGCCAACAATCCCAGACTCCTCAGGGATACGCTTCAAAACTTCACCTCCAAAAACTTCAAACAATTCCAGAAAGTAAGAAGGATTCAAAATATATAATACCTTCGATTCATATCGAGAAATGTACCCTATTTTTTGTTACTTGCTGAACCATAGTTCCATTGGACAAATTATCGCCTCTTTCCAAAAACACTTGAACTTCCCGGTCGTGTCTCTGTGTCGATGAGTCTGCGGAAACAACAACAAGAAGCTGCTCTTTTCTATTTCCAAAATATGCCGCGATCTTTCGTATTGATTAGAAAGCCTTCGCTTTTGATATAGAAATATATGGGGTTTTTTTAGAAAAAAAGCACCTCCGTCAATTTCAAAGTCGACCCTCTCGTGTGGTCACTCTAAAGTGAGTGACCATTCCCACCCACCCGGAGTTGCCAACAGACGGTACTTGAACTTGTTCTTTTGCTCGCCTTACCCCGGAAATTCCGGTTCTTTCGATCAGTTTTAGGGTGTAAGAGGCATCAAGCGGGAGGTCTGGAAGCCATTAATTTATACGATTTTTAAAACCCAACTATCACATTATCCAGTTATTTTTTTTGTTTAAGCTTCGGGTAAGGAACGTCGATTTCATGTAAAAGCAATTTCAGCAATTTTTCCGACAACCTAATTGTTCACGTTTTCGTTATACCCCCTATGCAAGCAATTTTGGCTTAATTTTCCCAGGTTCCAAAATTAATAAATTTTTGAAAACTAAATATGAATCGCATACATCCCACATCTTAGATTGTATGCTTTCTAATCTCTAAAAAATTTCTCCCTTCTCCCTAATCTCCCTAAAATTGACATTAAAAGCAAAGATACCAAAAGTTGTGTCAAAAAGTCCACTTTATAGTTTAATTCGAACTTCATTAGAACGGAATTTGAAACCAAAAATTAAAAAAATAAAGTGTCTGAATAATTCATTCTCACAATTCCGTAAATATTTACATGCTACGCCTTGCACCATAATAACACCTTGTCCCCAAAAAACCAATCCAATTTTTGGTGAGTTCCAGCTGTCATCGGTTCGCTAGTTTTTATAACCCAGGCAACCCCCCATATTTCAGAGTGGCCGCCCATAGCTTTCCCGCATCTGTCCCCCTTGGAGGCAAAATGTAAACATTCGCAAGATGTACCCGGAGGGCATTCGTGCCAGAGACCTCAATCCTCTTGATTAGATTAGAAGATCGGGTCCATTTCGCTACAAATTCCGGGGTTTGAAATTGATAAGCAGACAGAATGGCGTTCCAATTTGGGACTTCCTGGTGCTGGTGGTCGAAGATTTTTGATCCCAGATTTCGGGGGTACTGTAGAAAATGAAAGGCTGTAATATGGAATGGTAAAAATCGCGATTTTTGGTTTAAATCTACATCGCTCTCTTTCTCTCTCTCATTCTCTCTTCGCTTGCTCTGGTTTGTCGTGTGATTGCAACTTTAATTTCAGGGCGCATGCTATCGATATTTATACTATTTTGCGGCCTGCCCGGCTTGGCCAGCGGATTGTATAGACAGGTATCCTTTCATAAACTTAAGCAAGGCCATGCTTATTATATTTTGACTTTTAAATTTTATTTTTCGGGAAAGTTAATTTTGAAATGGCGTTTGTTACTTAAATTGTGGCCGTAAAATCCATTGTAGTTTTAAAACTGGGATAAAAACACGAATTACAAAAGCTCCAAATTGAACGCCCGAAACGACAAACTTTAGGCAAACAACTATCGGTACTACGATGACCTGACAGGACTATGGACCTTTATGAAAGAGCCCCATAATGCCGGGGATCGAGGGATTGAGCAAGAATGGTTCAAGAAGGACCTGTCCAAAATGGAGGTACTGTAGCTTTTGGTTTTCAAATGGTCTCGACAAGCTTTAGAATTCCACCGTAATGCCCGTTCCCGTCGCCTACAACGACATGAGCGCCGAGGCGTCGCTGCGGGACCACGTCGGCTGGGTGTGGTACCAGAAGAACGAGTTTATTCCGGATGTAAGTCGTAATAACTATATTGATTCGTCGTAATAAGTTTATTAATAACAATAGTGCTCTAATTTTATAAGGAAAAACGCCCAGCTTTTAGCGTGACAAGGATTTGCGCATATTCCTGACCTTCGAATCGGCGCAGTACTACGCTGTAGTGGTAAGCCAATTTAATAGCATAATTTTTCTCGATCTTCGGATTTCTGCCTGAAAAATAGTGAGTATGAACAAAAAAAATCAATTTTGAAATGAACTAGAATGTCAAACATTATTTTACACGCCTTAATAAAGGCTAGTTAATTCTGAAATGGTACACGTTTCGGTTTTCCAACTTGTGGACTTATTGATTATTATTTTTAGTAAATATTTGAATTTCTATTTCCTTTAAATATTCGTTCTTTTAGTACTTCAACAGCAAACTGATCGGCGAGCACGAGGGTGGGCATCTACCATTTTCGTTTGAAGTTACTGACCATGTAAGTAAAACTCCCGTTTTTCACATTATATTGCTACGCTCCCGTGATTACCTTCTAATTCTTTTTTAGGTAAAGTTCGGCGCCGACAACAAAATTACGGTAGCCGTCAACAATACATTGTCGTACTCCACGATTCCGGAAGCCGAATTCCAATACAAAGCAAGGAAGGAGATGGCTTTTGGGGGGAATCAGGTACCTCAATTTTGCAAATGAACTCAACTTATTTCTTTTTAGTCAATGACCCAGTACGCGCCCGGGTTCTTCGAGATGACGGTGCAGTTCGACTTTTTTCAACTACGCTGGACTGCTCAGGACGGTGTATCTGGAGAAGAAGCCCAAGATTCATATCGATGACATTCGGGTGGTGTCGGATCATGTTGGTGAGGAATTTGAAGGGTGGAATTGGTGGCCAGAAGCCCTAGTTATGCTTTGCGAGGTACAAATTGTCGGCAAATAAACAAAAGTAAAAGCTATTTTAGGGCAGAAAGTTGGGCATAGTTGCGTAAAAAGTAGTTCTGCGTTTTTTTTTTCAAAATAGTCTAGTTTAAAGACACGCACACGTGGCCAAAAATTTTCATACCGGGACCCCAGTTCCTTGACATGACCAAAAATGAAACAGGCGATCCAAGTAAGAATTTTCATGATAGTTCAAAGGGATACCTTAAATTCAAAGATTGTTTAAAAGTTAAAAACTACAAAATAGTGTGCCCAAAGTAGCAAAACGGAATTCAGGAGCCATTTTCTGGAAAATCGTGCTCGACGGCTGTAGCAGTGGATGCGCGGCGAAAGTTCGAGTTTTGGACGCCGATGGAAATGAAGTTATGAAAGGTATACAGGGTGTCCCATAAAAAAGCACCCCTCTCGCATTTCGCCATATTACGTCCGATCAATCCGAAAATTGGACCAGGAGTGTATTAGACCCTAAATAACCACAATCCTGATTTTCAGCCCAGTAGCTATAATAGTTCTGGAGTTATAACCAAAATAAACTTTATTTTCAATTTTTCATAGGGTTCCCGTGGAATTAGACCCCCTAAACATTAAGTGAAAAAGATTCGACAGGTCTTCTTTACCTTAAGAAAATTTTTCCTGACTAAAATTAATCAAATAAACATCGATTTCAGCGATTTTTACAACACAAAATTACCCAAGTTCTTAAGCTAAATTAGGGATTCGCAGCCGGAAGTCGATGCAAATCGATGCGAAGTCCAAAAAGATAGCCGAAAAAACTGTTTAGAATCGCGTAAAAAATAGTATTTTGGCGATAACTCGAAAACTACGGTGGCGATTGGGGTATAACTCAGGATTGTGGTTATTTATGGTCCGATACACCCTTGTGCAAAATATGGGGCCGATCGAATGTAATACGGCGAAATGCCGGAGGGGTGCTTTTTTTTGGGACACCCTGTATTTACTGGTTAGACAAGTATATTTTTTAAATCGGTATTTATTAATCTTCAAATAGATGGGGTTAATACACAAAGTACAGAATCTATTTTTTAAGCCGCCGGACTGACCGGAAGTGGTCAGGTAAAGAGTCCGAAGCTGTGGTGGCCGAGAGGAATGGGAGATCCGAATTTGTATATATTCCGAGTAAGCTATTTTCCCCAAAAAACTTTAATAAATAGGATTTTAGGTGGAAATCTCGTCTCCAGATGGACAAATTGTTGATCAATACGACGAGGAATTCGGGTTCCGCTCCGTTACTTACGACAATCATCAGGTATCTATTAAACGACGGACCTTTATCAAAAAAATAACTTTACTTTTTTTCTTTAATAATTAATGGCAAAATAAGATCTAAATTAAAAAAAGAAAGCCGATTAGGAAAGATCAACAATATAGAATTTTTTGTAGATGTACATCAACAACAAGCCGTTCTACTGCATTGGATTTGGGATGCACGAAGATTCGGAGGTATCTTTGAGTTCTTACAGTTTGTTTACAGTAGTTTTGATTCTTCCATGGAAAGTCAAATAAAGAAAAACTACGCAATAATCCATTTTACCCATCAAAAACAGGTAAAATTGTAGATTCACGGTCGCGGCTACGACGAGGCGGTGATGACAAAGGATTTGAATCTTTTTGAATGGGTTGGAGGTAGAACTCGCAATCCTCTTTTTTCATTTTTCTCTAGCCAACTGCTACCGTACCTCGCACTACCCATATGCACAGGAAAGGATCCGAGAGTCGGATCGTCGCGGAATTGCTGTGATTTTGGAGACGCCGGCTGTCGGGTTGAAGTTTGTATTAAAGCCAACCGTACTATTGATAGCAGCAATTCGTAAAAATATAATTTTTTAGGGTCTTCACTGACCACAATCTAAAACTGCACAAGCAGATCGTGACCGAGATGATCATGAGGGACAAGAATCATCCATCTGTAAGCCAAAGGAAAAATATACCATTTTGTATTAATCAATGCTATTAGCTGCGCACAGCACTCCTATAAAAACGGCGAATAAATGTATTTTGATGTTCACTACAAAATGCGTAATTTAGGTGATCATGTGGAGTTTATCCAACGAGCCCCACACCGAGCGGAAGGAGTCGAGGAATTACTTCAAGTACGTTTCTAAAATATGTTTTTCATCGAATTTCAATTTTGTTTTTTTTTATTGTAGAAGAGATCGTTGAAAAGCATATCGAAATTTTATTGCATTTTGAAAATTAAAAATTCAACTTTAGAACACTTGTCGATCTGGCCCACGACTTGGACCAAAGCCGCCCTGTCACGATTGTTTACGGACCTTCACACTGGGAAGATGATCAAACGGTAAATTATACATAGTGGAAAATAGAGAGTGAACTAACGGAAAAATTAGAATCATATTTTCCTACGCTACGAATTTAGGCCGATCTTATCGACGTGGTGTGCCTGAATCGCTACTGGGGCTGGTATGACGATATGGGGTATCTGGAGACGGTTAATCAGTAAGTTTCGACTTCAACACCCCACGAAGTGACCCTCATTAAACTTATTAACGACTGGATACAAAAACCTACGATACAATGCTTCGTACGACACACAAATCTCGGTAACTTCTAGATCCGTCGTTTTCGACTACACGATGTGGTACGAGAAGTTCAAGAAGGCCATGATTATGACGGAATATGGAGCTGATAGTATCGTGGGGCTGAATCAGGTGAGAAAAATGACATTAAAACTACACAGCCTGAAAAAATTGCTAATTTAGAAAGTTCAAAAATCCAGGATCCCAATTTAAAAATCCTGATCATTTAATATTGACAATAATCAGCATTAAATTTTAATATTTAGCAACCAGCCGTCGACTTCTCCGAACAATACCAAAATGAGCTGATCCGCGAGACGCACAAGGCGCTTGATCATCTACGGAAAGCCAAGATTCTCACGGGAGAGATGATTTGGAACTTTGCCGATTTTATGACGGCACCAGGTTGATTTGAATAGTAGTAACTTAAAATCAATCAATTCAGCCGCGCTACGCGCTGTCGGGAACCACAAAGGAATCTTTACGCGAACTCGCCAAGCCAAGCAAGCGGCTTATACTTTGAGGTACACAAAAATTAATGAAAGTTGTTATTGAAACGACTTTTTTAGGGATCGCTACCTGAAGCTCCTGCCACAACTCTAATTTATCCTTTTTAAATGGTTTTTTCGTACGAATAAATTTTCCCCGTTTTTTCATGTAAGTCTTCGTACCCTTTAACGAAGGAATTCACCAATTCCTTGACTAAAAATAGACCAAAGATAGAAAATCCAGGCTGCTCTTGTTGATCCATACCATCTACTATATATAAATTTCTAATGTCCGTCCGTTCGCGCGACCGGGAATTCAGCCAAATCCGGCATTCAAATTCCAAATTCAAATTTTTTTCGGGGGGGGGGGTGGGGAGGGCCAGCGCTGAACCGCCGCGGAGCGGGGGGTCAGCGCTGGTTTCAAACAAAAAGCAAAAAGATTCCAGCCAACCGGATTCGAACCAGTGACCTAAGGATAGCTGCCAACTCTACAGTCCTCCGCTCTACCAACTGAGCGGAGGACTGTAGGAGGCTGGGCGGTGATGCATGGAGGGAGGGGGCAATATGAAGGTATTCATTGGCAATCGCCTGATGCTCCTCATGAAAGTAATGATGTTCCCCTCATAACTCCCCCTCCGCATTGCTGCTCCGACCCAGCCATAGCTCAGTTGGTAGAGCGGAGGACTGTAGAGTTGGCAGCTATCCTTAGGTCACTGGTTCGAATCCGGTTGGCTGGAATGTTTTTGCTTTTGGATATGTGGCACGGTAATTTATTGTTTTTTCTGAGGCTGAGTTATTGGCGTCAATAAGCACCACGCAGCACTTTGAGGGTTTCGATACCTTTTGAAGCCAATTTTCGTTTATTTTTCGAATTATTAGAGCAATTATACAAGATCCACAGGGCGCTTCCGCTGGCTTTTTACCTTTCACGGGTCTGGCGTTCGGAAAATGCGTTCGAAGTCGAGAGAAATAAATTCTACTACCAGATGATACTATACGATACCTCAAGGTTTTCGGACTTTTTTAAGTAAATTCCGGATTTTTCGGGATTTTACAATAGCAAATCAAAATCGGGAGGGCATTTCTGCAGTCATTATAACTTCTCACTCGCTCCCTCTCGCTCTCTCTCTCTCTCTCTCTCTCTCTATCTCTCTGTGATAAAAGTTATCCTTTCCCTTTCCCTACTACGTTTAGCCCTTTCCGTTTATGAACGTCTTTCCAAAATCGCTTTCACCATCCCTTTAGAAAATGAGCTCCCTTTTCTCGTTCTCGCTCGCTCACTCTCTCTTTCACTCTCTCTCGCCCTCTCTCCGACTCACTCTCTCGCTCTGCATTTGCAGGTGTATTGTTCCATGTGTCATACATAATACCAAATATTAGTCGAAAGACTTTATCAGCCCCGAGGGGACGACGCGTACACGTTTTCGAGGTGAGTTGTGGTGTGTGGAGGCAATGAATGTACACACCCGCCATGTGGCGGACCCATAGTTGAACGGGGAGCTTTCGCTCAGTGCCTGGCGAGACGGGCGACCTTGCGGGCGACCTTGCGGTGGCGGAAGACCTTCTTGTGGCGGAACACCTTGCGGTGGCGGTATCCTCCGGATGAGGGTGCTGGGGCCGGGGCGGCAGGGGCCTCGGGCTCATCTCCGTACGAGTTCTGCTGAGGGGCCGGTGGGGCCGGGGCAGGTGGTGGTGGGGGGAGGAGGAGGAGGAGGAGCCGGGGCCTGAAATAAGAGCATGATCCTCCGGATTCGGATTTACAGGGGTGGGACAGTTTAAATCTTTTGAATTTGAGTTTTCATGTTTTATACCGTGTAAGCGCTGCCGCTAGACCAAATCATGCCGCAAATCGTTGCTCAAGCTGTTTGCTCGTGCTCTATTAGCTACTCCACCGTAGTAGTGCGTTTTAGAGGAACCATGAAGGCAAGTTCGGCACCGTTTTCTATGGTTTTCAGGTGTCACTTTGCTTCCTGGTGTTTTTAAAACGCGCTTTTTTGCCCGATAAATCGAATTTAGAGCTACCCGAGACACTAAGCGCATTTTAAACGACCTGTGAAGGCAATTTCGCCCCGTATCCGACGTTTTTAGGTACTAGGTGATACACTGAGCCTGGCTAACTAGCAAACGCCATTTGAGGAGCTCTACATGTATGTTCTCGATAGAACTCACCGGTGCGGGTGGCGAGTAGACGAGGGCCGGTGGTGGTGGCGGGGGTGGGGGAGGGGGAGGAGGAGGAGCCGGGGCCTGGAAATGCTGGTTTAATAAGGTATCGGACTTAAGGTCATGCTCGCTCTCACTACCTCTGTATCGCTTTATATCTCCTCTCTCTCTCTCTCTCTCTCTCTCTCTCTCTCTCTCTTTGCTTGTCCTCTCTCTCTCTCTCTCTGTCTCTGTCTCTCTGTCTCTCACTCGCACTCTCTAACCCAAAATTCTTACCGGTGCGGGTGGCGAGTAGACCGGGGCCGGGGGTGGTGGTGGCGGGGGAGGGGGAGGGGGAGGAGGAGCAGGCGCGGGAGGAGCAGCAGCTTGGTAGCTCTGGACCGGGGCCGGTGGTGGGGCCTCAAACGATAGAATAGGGTCATTATATTTGAGTTTCAAAATCATCATGCTAACTCTAAAACGATCCTACAGTTGATCGGTTGCTACTGTAACTTGTACGCTATCGTACTTAATTAATATACCCTGAAAGGATCTCAATCTCACCTGGGGAGCAGGAGGGGAGTAGCTCTGCTGGGGAGGCGCCTGGGGAGCGTAGCTCTGCTGAGGAGCCGGAGGAGCAAAGGACTGTTGCTGAGGAGCCGGAGGAGCAAAGGACTGCTGCTGAGGAGCCTGAGGAGCGTAGCTCTGCTGGGGTGGTGGTGGGGGAGGAGCCTGAAATAGAGGGAGCATGAGTAAACGGTCACCTATGCTATTTAAACCACTATGACTGCTGGAATTTTGAATAGCTATATTTTAATGGACAATTGACGTCACTCCACCAACCTGAGGGGCATATTGAGGGGCCGGTGGGGAGTAGCTGGGTGGTGGTGGGGGTGGGGGAGGAGGAGGAGGGGGAGGAGCAGCCTGAGCATAACCTCCACCGCCGCCGCCGCCGCTGTAGCCGCCTCCGGCACCGCCGCCGTAGCTTCCGCCTCCGATGGCTCCACCTGAAATGGCGACCTTCTCACGGATTTCATTATTTTTAGAGCAAAAATAGGTTGAGCTCAGAATATTTTGGTTGATCTCTACTTTAGAAATCTGCTAACTTACCTTGAGCGTATCCACCTCCGCCGCCGCCGCCGCTGTAGCCGCCACCGCCGCCGCTGTAGCCGCCACCGCCGCCGCTGTAGCCTCCTACGGCACCGCCGGCTGAAAGAGATCATGAATTAAAAAGAACACGATATGAAGAGAAAGAGAGAGAGAGTCAGAGAGAGAGCGAGTGAGAGAGAGTGAGTGAGGGAGCGTGAGAGCAAAGCGAGATAGAGCGAGGGAAAGAGAGAACTACTTACCTCCTGCATATCCGCCTCCGCCGCCGCCTCCGCCGAAGCCGCCGCCGCCGCTGTAGCCACCGCCGCCGCCCTGTTGGGCGTATTGGCTAAAAAGCAAATTAAACATTGTCAACTAAACGAATATTTGTCATTTTTAGGTTCCTACTGTAGCTGTACTTTAATCTTAGCCACGGAAAAAAATATATGTTGCTAAAATTTGGAATTCCGGCCGATTTTAGCATATTATTGTTAGAAATCCATATCAAAGGTTGAGTTGTAAATTTTAAATTCAGGATTAAAATCCTTACCTATCAAACTTAAAATTCTATAAATTCTGACTGAAA